TTTCTTAGCAATTTGCTGATTACATTTTACAGTTTACACTTTAAGTTTACGTTTTACTTTAACATACCCCTCATTTTATCTCACGTTTTAGGCTTATGATTTTGATAGTTGATTCCTTTATATAACTTATAACTAAGATTTAAAACTGTTTAAGTTAAATATATCTGCAGCCCGTTCATTTGACATTTTCCATAAGATGATTCAAAATTAGATAAAGCTTAAGTTTGATTAGGATTACAATTTATATATATACAATTTATCCTCCTTGCTAAGCTTGGTCTATTTTCTTAATTGTTTTTTCTAATGATTTGAACCCTTGATGCACATAGTGCATCCTGAACATTAATTTTTCTCAATAGTTTTGAAGCACATAGTTATGGTATTTCTACATATTTTGGGGTTAAAATTTAAAAGATAAAGAATAGGAAATAGTTAAACTTGCAGATGAAGTTTGACTTTTTTCAGGGACAAAAAAATGTTGTTAAGTCCAACTTTGTCAGCGTTGCTGTCACTCTAGACAGATTAGAGTGGAGAGCAGAGTTAAATATGAACCCCTTCATTTTATGGATATGCAATAGTTCTCTTAATTAATTATTCTGCTCATGCATGATCTTTTTCTCATTATTTTGTAGTATCAACTATCAACTTCTTAAATACTAATTTTTTGGCCAATATGATATTTTGCAGATAATAAATATGGTCATGGGTTTGACAAAATTCCCCAATGAAGGCAATACTTATGTGTTATGAAAATTGATTAGTTTCAACAGCTGATTGTCTTGACAGATGTTAATGATGTTGAACTATCTACTAAGGGTGAGTAGATGTTTATCCTCTTGATATCTTTTTTCATTTAGTACTTTTCTAATAAAATTGATAAATTTTACAACACTCGGGTGATTCGTTCAGCAAGAATTTGAGTTGTCGAATTTTTTGGTGTTGCCATGAAATTACCAATTATATCAAAGGCTGAAAACTCAGAATAAGCTTTCATTGTTGATCTTTTTGTTGTTGTACTAACTTTTCAAAAAAAATTAGCTACTAATATAATCATTTGAGGGATATATATCTAGGAATAAGAGATGTCTTATTAAATGTGACTATATTTGTTAGCACATCAGTGCACAAGCAAAAGCCTGAAACAGATTTCAAATTTATTCATTTATTCATTATGTATATAACTAGGAATATGAGTTGTATTTTTAAATGTAACTTAATCTGTTAACACAATATTACAGGAAAAGAAACACAAACAGAATACAATGGACAACTAATTTAGTGGTTCAGCAAGAATTTGAGTTGTCAAATTTTTAGGTATTGCGATGAAATAACCAATTATATCAAAGGCTGAAAACTCAGGGTAAGCTTTCATTGTTGATCTTTTTGTTGTTGTACTAACTTTTCGAAAAAAATCAACTACTAATATAGTAATTTGAGGGATATATATCTAGGAATAAAAGATGTCTTATCAAATGTGACTATATCTGTTAGCACATCCGCGCGTGAGCAAAAACCTGAAACATATTTCACAATTAATCATTTATTCATTATGTACACTATTTGTTTAACTAGGAATAAGAGATGTCTTTTTAAATGTAACAAAATCTGTTAACACAATATTACAGGAAAAGAAACAAAAAAAATACAATGGACAACTAATTTAGTCGTTCAACAAGAATTTGAGTTGTCAATTTTTTTGGTGTTTCCATGAAATTACCATGACTTTAAGTTATTTTTTAGTTTAGAAAGTGTTCATCAACATAAAATCGTTTAAAAGCATTTTTGAAAGTCGAAAAGGTACCAAAAACAGGCTAAGAGAGAAGCTTAAGACGTTAAATCTCTCTGTGAACGTCTCCTCAAGTTTTTTGTTCATTTGGGATGCCTTACTGTAGTATTCTTCATGATGATTTAAGGTAAATTTACATGTTCCTCAATCTGACTAATATGACCTATTTTCTCTTCAAGGTTTATTATATTCATCAAGTCCCTGATTCTAATATTTAAAGAGTTGTTTTAGCTCCTTCTACTTCTTGTACTATGCTTCAACACAAAAACACAAGACCAGAAAATCCACCATTGTTGATGCAACTTCTTCCATTATTAATTTGTCTTGTGATTTTTATAGTATGAGTAAGTTCCTTCTCTTTGTGCTTTACTGCTTTTATATATTTTTGTGTACGAGTTGAAATATTTATTTAAAATTTTAAAATTGGGTGAAGAGAGGAATTCTCCTCCCATATCACTACCAATCAATGAAAAAATTAATATATGAATAACAATCTCCCCCCCCCTCCCCTTCTCCTACACTTTATGAACATTAGAGGGAATTAGATATTCAATGAAGTAACATGAACAATGAGATTCTGTAGCCAACCCTAATTTATTCGAGTTGATGCTATATGCTCTCATTTTGACAATTGTCAAGATTCATTTATAGGATTATTTGGTTTAATATAATTTTAGTATCTGAATGTATTAATTCCTTATTATCCAGTTCTATATACGTTTGCATGTTAACATGATTATGTTAATTTATTAAGATATCAATTTGCTTTCTAATTTTCTCCTTTCTTCTTTGTTGACAATAGTAACATCAAAATTCGTTTGAAAAAATAGTGTTCCGTCTCCACTTCTTCATTTCTATAATCTATTCATTTGTTCTCACTATAACACAGTTGTGACATTGAGATCTGTTCTATTGAATATTGAAAGCTTGAGTCTCATTACTATATGTCAATGATTTTACTTGATTTTTGCAGGAATCTGTCTTTTCTCAATATCACTTACACATGTTACATTATCTGTTTGCCCATACTCAGAACTTCACACTATTTACGCCCAGCAGTGATGGAGCTTAGTCTTGAAATTGTAAGTTCCTTCATAACCGCAATAGTGCTCATCATTTGATAATTCATGTTTTACCAAATGAAACATGTCACATTACATTCATTGAGATGTCGTTGACTTATTCAAATGTGTATGTGTCACAATTCAAACTTCCAACATCTAACTTCTTAAAATATTGTGATCTTCACTTCTTCATTAAGGTTGGGATTTGGGTCTAGAATGAATATATTCATTCAGGAATTGTGTTCATTGTTACTCCTCTATGTCAGAGAGTAAATTTTATAGCACATTTATTGATATGTATTTTATATATTTATATGTTTGATTCATGGTATGATCTTATGCGCTTATTATAATAATAAAAAGTTCTTATAAGGCAACTATTGCACGTAGACTATAAATTATTAGTACTTAAACATGAATGAATGTTTGGTACTATCATGATGCAAGATTAAAATATGATCAATGTTATTTGATGGCACAAATAGCTCATCTCTTTCTCACATGTATATGCAAATGCTCTATTCAGATTACAGAATTCACAGTGAGTTGTCTTGTGAGTTAGTTTCTAGTGAGTTAGTTTCCATGGAATTTGCATTCTATGTACTTAAATGAATATAAAACTGCTTTTACTTTTCTCTTGGTTGCCTTTTGCTTCAACACTTAGACCTCATACTGTTGAAGAATGCAGTCACAACTTCAGTAGAACATTGGACAAATTGGAACATGTCAATCACCAAGTATATCTGACCTGGTTCACTAGCAAATTGTCTGGTCCTTTCTAATTTAAAGAATAAGTCTTACTAATTTTGTTATGTCCAGGTAAGAAGATATCTATTATCTCAAATAGTAATTTATTGATTTTTACAGACATGACAGCTTTACATACCAACTATAAAATTAAACTTGGACAGGAGTTAAAACTTGCTACACGACCATTTTGTTACCTCAAAAATAATATATTTGTTTTCAGTTTATTTTTATAATATAGTTACAATAACTCTTAATTCTCAAACAAATTCTCAAAAAATCCTAGGAGGCAACTTCACAGCAATCACTCAAGATAAATACACAATACATATACTTGAACAAAGATAAGTGATTTCTGCCATTTTTATTTTCTATTCCATATTTATGAAGTCGGAATTTCATTTGTGCTCTTCCTCAATCAATTCATTTAATAATACAAAAAACAAAAGTAAATATAGAAAATTACACCATCTCACTCTCATCCACAAACACAAATGACAGAACTTCCAAATTTATATATCTAATGATAATAATATAAAATTATGGAGCTCAGAAACAAACTTGGACCAAAGGCTATTCAAATTCTACTGTCAAATGTAATAACTTCTTTTTCTGGCATACAACATTAAATTTTACTATCAAATATAATAATTTTTTCTCTTTTTTGGCACAATCTCATTGGCTGCCAAATCCATCAATTTTAAAGAAGACACCTGTACTTTTACATAGTATAACGTGTCTACTTTGTATTGTTTGTTTATATATATACATTATTACTCATTATTCATCGTTACTCATGAAGCACAAATTTGTCATCCTTTCGTTTGAAGAAAAAACTATTGCTCCCTTTCTAAGGTATTTTTTCCCCTTTTCATGTTTTCCCTCTTCCCATTTTCAATTTTTCTTGCAGATTTTAGTTGTCACCGAAGGAGAAAATCAATATGGGACCAAATTAAACTTGTTATTTTCACTTAAAATTCCAGTTTTATTACTAGCAAACAGAGTTGAGGATATTATATTTTCTAATGTTTCACTAAGTTATAGATAATTATGTTCTTGCATGTTCTGAATTTCATTACAAATATTCCTTTTGTACTTTCATTACAAATTATATACTTTTAGTATGTGGAGGACAATATGTTCTTGCATGTTCTTCCTAATTTAATTGTTCATGTTCATGCAATCACATAAAAGAAAGGACTTTCACTCAATAGTGATGCTATCTTGCAGATACTACTGCTTGGTTAAATATTTCTAACAAACATGGTACTAAGATTGAACATCGATCAAATAGCATTAACAACACGAGATTGGATTTGCAAAGTTCAAATTGTGGAAATCGGACGCCAAAGAGAAAGCCCTGACAAGAAATGTAGATTCCAAAATTTGATTTTGGAAGATGAATTGGTGAGCTCAATACATTTAATCTCATGAATATTCTCCTTTTTTAATATTTACCTCATATGAAAATTTTTGTTTTGTTTTACTCTTAGTAAATAGTTTGACTTATTCTCAGATCTCTACAACTCTTACTTTCAAGAATGCCAAATAAAGGCAGTATTGTATGCCGATGAAATTGAGTAGTATGCAGAAATGCTTAAACTCATGAATATCTATCTCATCTCTACCGCAAGAGTCAAAATCTCCCAAACTTCACACGGCAAGCCGGTACATAAATTTTACTGGGTTCTTGACAAAAAAACAGTAATTGAACATATCACACCATCTAATGGAGTTGAGAAACCACTTCCGCCACCAACCAAGCTGAATATCACAACCTTTGACCGCATTCCTCACATGATGCTTGATTCTGCTGTTGAAATCGGTATATCCATCCTAATAACTTTTACAACAGTAAAATATATCTGCTTACTGATACACACACTTACAACATTTCATTCTTTATTATATACGCAGATATACTGACAATCGTTCTTCGTTGTGGTCCTCAAAAATACGCAGGTCGCAGTCATCATAAGTGTCGAGAAATTATCATTTGTGACAATCAGTAAGCACATTTTGCCTTATATTTTCCTAATTAATGAAAATATTTTGAATAAGTAAACATTTTTATTGTTTATTTAAACGTACCATCACTTATCATCTGGTCGTTATCATGGAACTTTAGGAAAAATCAATTTCTCCTCACTCTATGGGAGGATTTCGGAGAAATTGAAGGAAATGAAATCGAAGCAAAAATGGAAAAAGAGACGGATCTTATTGTAATACGGTGCAACAGAAAAAAATAAAATCCGTATATATCTATTCTAATAATCAAAATAACATTACTTTATATTATTTATATACTATAATTTAATTCTTATAATTTATAACTAATCACGAGAATAGAGGTAAATCTTTTATTTAAAGTGTCTTGTTCCTCCTTGATTTGTATTCAGTGCCTAGGTTAGTTGCTGCCCCTTTCTTCTTTTTTATCTTTTTTTTAAAATAATTATGTACTAAATTTTATCAACTTAATTTAATTATATGAGCCAAATGGTAAGGGTAATTAAACAAAAAAAAATGAATTTGACCTATCTACCACTCAAGCATATTAATTGTAATATATATGTATCAACTAAATATTCTTAATTATCGAATAGTTTTGAAATACCTTTTTAAATTTTTTGAAAAGAATCAAAATAGTCCTTACTCTCAAAATCACCAAGCGAGTCGTTACGCTAACAATATTCTCTCCCCCACCCCCACATTCTCCACCGTTTTTTCTCTCTTCCTTGATCCTTTAAACACATAATTTCTTCAGGATATCTACCAAAACGATTTTCGTTCATCCTCTCAACACAGAATGAGGATCACTTATATTTAAATATTAATTACTCAATATTAAATATTCTTATGAACTATTCAAACAAACAATTTCACTGCCAAAACTTGTAAATTTTATATATACAAAAAAAATTAAAGCCAATAACAAGAGCACTATTGAAGTAACCAAAATCATTATTACTATTATACCTAGACTCGAGATCGACACTCATATTTTCTTGACTACAACAGTCGTCAACATATTCATAATTTGTTTATTTCATGTATTTGATGTAATATTTTTATGTATTTAAACTTTTATGTTAGTATATCTAAGTTTTTATCTTCTTTATGTTAATTTGTATCTAAGTTATTGATGTCTTCAACTTGATTTCTGTTTTAATATACCTGGTATGTATATGAATATGGATATTGTGAAAACAATTTCACCATCACAATTTTGAAATGGAGTAAAATGGCTATTTTGAAAACACAGAGATCAAGATTGAAGAAATCAAATTGAATTAATGGAAAGAGGAGGTTTTTCTATCACACTGCTACATCAACTATGGATGACTCATAACACGCCGGTTTGGGTTCTGAGAGGACCAAGTATATGATTGTGGTTCCATGGGAGGACTAGAAATTTGCATTGTAATCATGTACAACATGTAGTCATACTATGTTACTATGTCAGTATTCAATTTTTTATTCATCTAATTTCAGTATTGATTGAAAATTTGAATAGGTATACTTTAATTTAGTAAAAATAAATTTAATTAATATTTTATAAAATACTTAAATTTAATTAATATTTTATAAAATACTTAAATTAATCTTAATATTAACAATGTATTGATACTTGTCATTGCTCATGATTTGACTCTCAAAGAGTACTTTTAAAAATTAAAAAAAAGTTACTCAAACACAATTTGTTTATCAAAAATACTTTTCAAGTGAAAATTAACCCAACACATTTGCTTTTTTTTAAAAAGCACTTATCAAAAAGCTATTTAAAAAAATATTTCTAAATATAAATCGTTTTAGTAGCAAAGTCAAACAGACTCTTACAATCATATACTAGGACTAGTGATACTTGTATCATTTTTGGTCGACTGGAACAGTGTAATTATGTTACTAGAAGTTTTAGATTAAATAATATAGTAGATAATAATTTTTTAATATTGTATTATCTAATTTATTTTTTATAATACGTAAATACTTTTCTAAGTTGTGATTTGAAATTTCAGTGATATACCTAAATCTAACTAGAATCTTACAACCCTTTTAAATTATTTTTACGAAAGAGGGTCAACCCTTAAACTATCTGAAATAGCTCATATATACCCTTAAACTCTATTTTGGCTCAAAACTAGCCTTCTCGTTAAACTATTGGGTCAAAAGTGCCCTTCTAATTAACGGAAATTGTTAAATGCCATGTGGATGTCATATGAATGTCACATGGCACCCCCAATAGATTTCCACTGCCACATAGACTATAAGAAAAAGGGTCAAAAGTACCCTTAAACTATCCAAAATAGCTCAAATATACCTTTAAACTATATTTCGGCTCAAAACTACCTTTCCCCTCAAACTATTGGATCAAAAGTGACCTTCTTATTAGCGAAAGTTGTTAAATTCCACATGTGCCACATTGACTAAATCCCTAAATCTTAATTACTCATTTTCCCTCATTTCATTATTGTCCAGAAACGATTTCACTCGTTCTCCCTCATTTCGCGGCTAGGGTTTCATACTTTTCTTCATTGCTGGGTTTCAAAGTGGATATTCGTGGTTATAGGTTAGTAAAATTTTTTCTTATTTTATTGTGTTTACAACTACGATAATCCACTTTGAAACTCAGCTCCGAATAAAGTTATGAAACCTTGGCCGCGAAATGACGAGAAAGTTGTGAAATTCTAACTATCATACTTTAAAATTGTAAACGCAATAAAATAAGAAAAATATTTACTAACCTACAACCATTAATATCCACTTTGAAACTAGCCCCCAAGAAAGCTACGAAGCCTTAGCTGCGAAATTAGGGGAAAGTTGTGAAATCCTAACTATCATGCTTTGAAATCGTAAACATAATAAAATAAGAAAAAATATTTACTAACCTACAAGAATGTATATCCACCTTAAAACCTAGCCACGAAGAAAAGTATGAAACCCTAGCCGTGAAATGAGGGAGAACGGGTGAATATATCATTTCTGAAATAATGAAATGAGAAAGAAAGTCATTAGAATTTACGAATTTATCTATGTGGCAGTGGAACCTTATTGACATGCAATGTGCTATCCACAAGGCATTTAACAACTTCTATTGATAAGAAGGGTACTTTTGATCCAATAGTTTGACGGGAATGATAGTTTCGAGCCGAAATATAGTTTAAGAGTAAATATGAGCTATTTTGGATAGTTTAAGGGTATTTTTGACCCTTTCTATTTAGTCTGCGTAGCAATAGAATTCTATTGGCATGTAATGTGGCATCCATATGGCATCCATGTGGCATTTAACAACTTCCGTTAATAAGAAGGGTACTTTTGACCCAATAGTATAACGGGAAGGGTAGTTTTGAGCCGAAATAAAGTTTAAGGGTATATATGAGCTATTTCGAATAGTTTAAGAGTATTTTTAATCCTTTTTTCTTATTTTTAAATGGAATAAACGAAAGTTTTTATTATGAATGAGGCACATCTCACACTAGTTGTATGAAGGAGTATTTTATTATTATTATATTTAAATTCCTCGGTACTACACTTTGTTTTTCCTTTTGTCTTCTATTTCTTTTTCTTGTTTTTCTCTTTCCTCGTTTTCCTCATTTTCTTTTTTTTCTTAAATTTATTTTGAAACGCATAATTACTATCTCATTTTGTACATATAAAAATAATTATTTACTTATTTGTTTTAATCGTTTTTTTTTAAAAATTATTTTATCATTAAAATTAAAAAGGCATGAGCATACAAAAATTCAAGTTAATTTTTTAAACGGTCTCTTATATCATATATATTGACCACTAAAATTGTTCCTATTTCTTTTTTCTCATTTTTGTTTATAGTACTTTAAAAAATTTCACCTTCATATTTCGTATCATTTTAATTTCAACTTTTAAAATTTATCCAAAACTTATTTTTTACTTTATTTGAAATTGATGTTTGATCACGAAAATTTAAAATGTAACTTTTCAACTTGAAGATATATTTCAAATTTAAAAAATAAATTAGTATAATCTATTTTTAAACTCAATTTTGACTTTTGATATTATATTTAAGTACATTCAAACATGAATATTATTTAAATATTCTTTTAAAAAAATAAAATACAATTTTATTTTCAAATTTTGCTCCATATATTTCAAATATAGTAAAAAAAACATATTAAATACTATGGTCAAATGCCAAATATTTGATAATGTTTAGTTTAATAACAAGTGTTTCACTATTCTTTTTTTTAATGTTTAGTTTAATATTCATGTTTTAATGTACTTAAATATAATATCAAAAGTGAAAAATGAGTGTAAAAACAGATTATACTAACATGATTTTTAAATTTGAAATATACCTTCAAGTTAAAAAGTTGTATTTCAAATTTTCATGATCAAACATCAATTTTCAAATAAAGTAAAAAAAAATTTAGATTAATTTTAAAAGTAAAAGATAAAATGATACGAAATATGTAGGTGGAAATTTTTAAAGTACTATAAATGAAAATCAGAGAAAAGAAATAGAAATAATTTTAGTGGACAATTTTTATGACATAAGTTAGAATATGCAGAATTAACTTGAACTTTTGTATGCTCATGCCTTTTTTATTTTTAATGATAAAATAATTTTTTTAAACAAAAGAAGATTGGTTAAAA